GGTACAGATTCTCCCTCCTCTGTGAGGACAGATCTGCGTGTTCCCCCCCCCATAGCTAGCAATCCAAAACAGTCCAGTGGCACCTTTAAGACCAAGTTTTATTCAGGTACAAGCTCTCCCTCCTCTGTGAGGGCAGATCTGCGCGTCCTCCGTCCCCCCCCCCCGCCAAATAGCTAGGAATCCAAAACAGTCCAGTGGAGCCTGAGCGGTGGGTGTTGCCTTCTGACACACTTCCGGTGATGTCAGGGGGTGTGGCATATGCAAATAAGTTATGCTAATGAGCTCCTGCACCTCTTTTTCTACAAAATGACCCCTGATCAGAACTAATTGCAAGTTGTTAGAAGCATTCCGCTCAGAGGTCACAGAGGAAACCAGAGCGCTTGCGCTGTGACCTGGCTTTTCTGGTAGAGATTCAAGTGCCTTCTCTGATTCAGTCTGCTTGCTTAATTCAGAACAATGTTCCTCCTGAAGAAAGAGCAGCTTAGGAGATCTGCAAAGCAAAACAGAGCTTAAAATCAAAAGCCCGTTGATAAGGCAAAACCCATCAAATGTGAGAAACGGCCTGTATTTTGACCGTGGCCCACAACAACATTTGCTCTTTGGTTTAAGGTGTCAGTGGACGGCTGCTGCCGAGGCTAGTCCAATCTCATCAGAACTCGGACGCGAAGCAGGGTCGGCCCTGGCTAGCATTTGGATGAGAGACGTCCAAGGAAGTCCAGAGGCAGGCGATGGCGAACCACCTCTGAACATCTCTTGCCTCGAAAACCTCGCCTAGGGTCGCCATAAGTCAGCTGTGACTTCGTTCAGTGCGTGGACTCTAATCTGGGAAAGCCAGGTTCGATTCCCCACGCCTCCACTCGCAGCTGCTGGATGACCTTGGGCCAGCCGTAGTTCTGACAAGAGCTGTCCTTGAAAAAGAGCAGTTCCTGTCTGAGCTCTCTCAGCCCCACCTCCCTCCCAGTGTGTCTGTTGTGGGGAGGTGAAGGGAGAGGAGTTTGTAAGCCGCTCTGAGAATCCCGTGGGTAGTGGAGGGCGGGGTATAAATCCAATCTCCTCCTCCTCCTCCTCCTCCTCTTCTTCTTGTGTGGTGTGACCCTGGGTCAGTTACAAGCAGGGGTCATTTCGTAGAAAAAGAGCTGCAGGAGCTCAGTAGCATACGGTATGCTAATGAGCTACCACACTATTAGCATATGCCACGCCCCCTGAGGAAGCAAAAGGGGGGGAGGCATCTTCAAAACCTGCCCCTTCTCTCCCCTTCCCCAGCTGGCCTGGGGGGAGGGAGCAAGGAGAGAAGGGGTTTAAAGTTTAAACCCCTTCTCACTAGAGTTGGGCCACAGAAGAAGGAAAGAGAGAGAGAGGAGGGAAGGAAAGAGGGAAAGTGAAGGAAAGGTAAAGAAAGAGAGAGAAGGGAAGAAGGAAGGAAGAGAAGGGAGAGAAAGAAAAGGAGAGAAAGAAAAAGAAAGGAGGGAAAGATGGAAAAGAGATGGAGGAAGGGAGGCTCTCCCACCCACCCTCCATCAAGCCCCTGCCATCCCCACCCCCGCAGATCCCTTACTTACCGCTTCGGCGTGGGCCCGGAGGACCCAGCTGCGGGGCTCTCCAGGCCTCCCCCCCCCCCCGCCCCGCCACTTTGCAGCGC